CTTTCTTTCTGAATGTTGTAGTCGCTGAGGGTTCGACCATCTTCCAGTTGTTTACCAGCAAAGATGAGGCGTTGTTGATCAGGTGGAATACCTTCTTTATCTTGGATTTTTGCTTTAACATTTTCGATTGTGTCGCTTGGTTCGACTTCAAGTGTGATTGTCTTTCCAGTAAGTGTTTTGACAAAAATTTGCATACCACCACGTAATCGAAGTACAAGATGGAGTGTACTTTCTTTTTGAATATTATAATCACTTAATGTTCGACCGTCTTCAAGTTGTTTACCGGCAAAAATGAGACGTTGCTGATCAGGTGGAATACCCTCTTTATCTTGGATTTTTGCTTTTACATTTTCGATAGTATCACTTGGTTCAACTTCCAATGTAATAGTTTTTCCAGTAAGCGTTTTTACAAAGATTTGCATAGTTGCTGTTTAATAATAAGTAACAGAAACGAAGATATAACTATTTGTGTAAGGTGAGCTGAATTAAATAACGTTAGAAAAAATGCTGCTTTTATATTGTGCGCCTCATGACAATGAGTCAGCTTCTTCACAATTCGCAACGATGGAGAAATTACGAGATAGTAATAATGACGCCGTACAAGGGGCAAAAATAAGAAAAAGGAAGAAAGAAGTCGAGAAAAAAGTAACCTTAGAGGACGAAATAAACAGTTGACGTCAACCGATTTGAAGCATTCACCACCATATTCTTACAATACAGTTGTGAAAGAATTTTTCTCATGAGATCAATGGTGAACTTTAATTTTACTCGAAAATCATACAGAAACGAAATTCAATTAAAATAATTGCTTTGAAGAAAGATAACATTACTTTCGACTAGTTGAATTCTGAACCAATCAGATTGTTTGGAGCTATTGTACCTATTTTCCTGAAAATTATGCTAGATGGATCTATATCCACAACTTATCTGTTCTGTCTGAGGGAAAACTACAAGAAAACGGAAAGAATGTTACAGTTAACAGATATTTCTCACGCATGAAAATAGGAAAAGGGGGTATGATAATCGTCATAGACAAATTCGGTCGTGAACATGAAACTGACTCTTGTATCTTTTTTTTGCGTAATTAATATTCGATTTGTGTTTTCTTATGCCAGTAACATATTCAGTGATAGACATGAACAATTAATAGATTTTTTTATTTTAGATTTTCTGTAGAGAAAAAATAAATATGTTTCTTACACTAATTTTTTTCTTTGTTATTATCAAATTTATTTTTATTCATAATGAATCCTTCACATCAATAATACATTCAACTCATTAAATATTGAAATTGCTTTAGCTAAACAATTAGAAACATATCTAAAGCAAAGATATGAACGATTAGATCATATGGAAATGTAATTACTGGACAAGAGAGACCGGATATCCCAACATGTTTGCAACACGCTGTATTTTGCACATATCTCATCATAAATAAATGCTAAAAAGCATGACTGTTTTTCAAAAGTTGCACCTTAAAAAGCTGTTCAAAAAATGCCGGAACAAATCTCTACTAACATGTTCTGATGATATTTCCTACAGTCAGAATAAAACACCTACATAGTCGAGCTGCTTCTCACCATATTTAAAATAATAAAAACGTTCGGAAGACCTTTTCTATTTTATAGTACGAATTGATTCATACAGGTTTTGTAGAACTTTTGAAAGAAACAATCAAGAATTTTTCGTTTTCTGAGGCTGAGATATATGTAAAGTAAAAAAGGTCTTCCAAACGTTTTTATTATTTTAAATACGGTGGGAATTAGCACGAATATGTAGGCGTTTCATTTTGATTAAAGAAAAAAATCATCAGAACATGTTAATATAGATTTGTTCCGGCATTTTTTGTAGAGCATTTTACGGTGCATCTTTTGAAAAAAACATCATGCTTTTTATCATTTCTTTATGATGAGATATACGCAAAATACAGCGTGTTGCAAACATTTTGGAAACACGATATTTCGAAATTTTGATCACTAAAAGATATAAAATTTGCTTTCTTGCAGCAATAAGATTTTGTCAATAACTAATGACATTAGATTATTTTATTGTTGTCTTTCAATAAATCTAAGATGAATGTTCAATAGCTTAATGATTTTCAAAAGAATCGAATTAGGCTCAAGATGTTTTCAATTGAGGTTGAAGTCAATAGAAGAAACCGATTTGTCTAATATATTCTAAAACTTTTTGATGATCTATGCTGATACCTAAACTTAATCGATTGAAATAAAAGGAATATATCAAACCAGACGAGTTCCTTTTCAACATGAATGATGAACTGAAGCTTTTCAAAAAATTGTGTACTCAATAAAGAGACACCAAAAAGCAATGTATTCAATATCATTAATATGAATTGCTTAATTATTATTATTAAAAAAATTGAAAGTTTTTGATAAAATTGTCGTTAAGTCGACTTTGTTTTTTGGAAATAATCTAACTGATCAACTTTGATATTCTTCAGTTTGTTGAATGTTGAAACCTTGATCATTATTAATATTTTGACTTTTTTTTCTGTGAATAACAACCTATGAGAAAGTTATCAAGCAGCAGATTTGATAAGTTTTGTCTATTCATCAATATATAATATTTTGAATTCCATATAAATATCGCTCTAATTGTCTATAAGTAGTTGCAACTGACGATGCATCATCATCGAATTGTACATTTATAAAACTTCCTTGTTGATAATCATCAATGAATGGTATTAAAACGGTCGAAACAAAAAATATCGAAACTGCTACTAGTGCAGCTTCAGTACACACTTTCACCAATACTATGTGAATTATCTGCAGCAGCATCTATGTCCTGCACTTACATATGAATATTGTGTGCTAACGCTGCATTAATAGCACTTTCGACATTTTTTGTTTCAATATTTTTTATACATACCTCATCGATTTC